AAACAAACTTAATTGATCGATAAGTAGATTTGGAAGATCTGGCCATTGGTGGATCGTAGATATTTAGATCGATTTGTCATTAGGATTGTTCGCTCAAAAGATTGTTAATCAAAGAAGAATCTTATACCGTTCGATCACTAAAATAGCTTGATAAGTCTGTAGATCGACAAAACTACATATGAACAGATATACCGATATATTACAGATCTATCAGTCTACAGATAGATCTTTGGATCACTACGTCGTTGTATCGTACATATCAACAGATATACCGATATACTACAGATCGATCTGTCGATACAACGACGTAGTGATCCAAATATCTATCTGTAGACTGATAGATCTGTAGTATATCGGTATATCTGTTGATATGTACGATACAACGACGTAGCGATTAAAAGATCTATCTGTAGACTGATATATCTGTAGTATAGGAATCGATTGATGATCGTTAGATCCCTAAACGAATGGAAAGCAAGATCGATGAAGACATTAATTAATATATTTACAGATCGAGAGATCAATACTATAAATACTATAGATCTACTAATCGTTAGATTACAAGATCTATAGGGTTTTATCAATGGATATTTAAATCGATAGACAAATTAATCAACGTTTATATCATTAAAACGACAGATCGCAAGATGAATGGAACACAAGATCGATAACGTATATTCTATTAATATTTAAAAGACGATCGAGAAATCAATCGAAGATCGTTAGATCACTGAACGATTGGAAAGCAAGATTGAGTTAGCGATAAATTATTAGATCAAAATAGGTCGTTGTATCGATGGAACTATGAATCGATAGATTACTGGATCAACGATGTATCGTTTAATCGTTACATCGCTGGTATGAATGAAACACAAGATCGATAGATATATAAGTGGATGATTAATAAATCGTTTCCTCGAAAGAGTGAAAATCGAGAGTATAAAACACTTGATTATTTTTGTTAATAGATCAACAAATTTGTGGATCAATAGCTAGTTATATAAATTAATGAATAGTTCGATTAACCAATCGATCGTTAAATCATGGATCGCCATATAAATAGAAATGATCGATAGTTCAACATGTTGTTAGATCGACAACTTAATAATTTTTGTTGATGAGTCCAATGATCGTTGCAATAGATAAAAGTATCGTTTGATCAATAGATTATCGATCCAAGATTCAATACATCGTTGTATTATCGATGGTTTCACAGATCGGGGAATTGAAAGATTTTCATATTGTTTAATCTATGGATTATTAGATCGAGGGTTCGCTAGATCTATTATAACGATGGATAAAAACGTTAATAAATCGATAGATTATTAGATCATTGTATCATATGATCGATGGATGAAGCGTTGCATTGATAGATCATAATTTCAAAGATTGATAGATCGGTGGACTTTTGGATCGACATATTACCAGTTCTTTATAATGATAATAGGTTAATAGATTGATGTATTATTAGATCGTATATTTTACCGTGACTTTTAGATCGACGTATAGCTAGATCGTTATAATAATATGTCAATAGTTTAAGTTATCGTTAGATCGTTAGATCAGTTGCCTGATCTATAGATTTTGAAAATTCTAAATAACTAAAACAACTCATAAATTCCTCTTTCCATGTTAACCAGGCAATACTCTTAAAATTAACAGTTTTTAAACAACCAACAAATATCACCAACAACAAGACAAGACCCCAAGAACCAAAGACAAAACTAACTACAAACATAGATCATTTCCAGACTCAACTCTCTAAAGATTGTAATCTGCTCATCAAATGAAGCATTATAAAAGTTCAAAGTCATGCAAAAATACAAAACAAAATAAAAAGAATCTAACTCTAGCATAATAAAGAAAAAGAAGAAGATTCTCGTCTTCTGGCACAGGGAGAAAAGAAGAAGAAGAAAACAACAAACTATAAAAATATGTGGCAAAAAAAAAGAACCTAACCAAGTTGAAAGATAAACGAGATACATTTCTTCTTCGTTTTTTTCCTTCATTTGCTTTAGAAATACAAATGAAGCGTAAATGACATGAAGAAATATGGAGAAGTAGTGGTAGTAGAAGTAACCCAAGACATGATGGGCAAATACAAAAAGACAAGAATTAAAAAGCCACAATCAACAAAGCAAAGAACAAAAAAAAAATAACTTTATGACCAAACCAAGGCAAACAAGTACCAGTTCAGGGAAACGGCCCAGGCCAGTCAGTTATCTGAATGGAAGGACGGACGGATGGATGGATGGACAGACAGATATGGATAAACAGACGTGCAAATAAAAAACACTAAACAGATTTTTTTCATATTACATTGGAAATGAAAACTACAGAAATCAAGAAGAATTTATAAGAAATAAGTAAGATGAAGAAGTAAATGAATCAGCCAACTCAAATGTCATGAAGATGAAATAAAGGCTGATTGCTTGATGGCGAAAAAAACACGCACACGCAATGAGTTCTAAGCAAGGTACAGTGGAAGGTTTTGAAAGAGGACTGTGTTTAAGGCCAAAGATATTTGAGTACTACAATGATCTTAATAGAGAGATTTTTCGATATCTAAATAGACAGATGTCGAGACATTTAATGAATTTCATTTTATGCAAAGATCGTGGATTACCTAGAATATAGATAGACAGCTTGATCAGTAAAACCCTAGTGAACCCCTTGATCAGTAGAAAACTTGTTGAAAAGTTGAGTTGAGAAATTGAGACTTGTTCTTAGATAAGAAGGATGTAAGCAACTAAGATCGTTAGATTGATCTTTGGGTCAAGAAATCTTTAAATTGCTAGAACGTTTGATTGAAAGATCATTGGGTGGTTATTTAGATCGTTAGCTTGAGAAGTCTTTAGATAAAGTAGTCATTGTTGGATCAAAGTATCGTTTAAAAGCTAGATCATTACATCGATAGATAGATCTTTGGGTCAAGAAATCTTTAAATTGATAGATCGTTAGATTGAAATATCGTGAACTTTATGAACTGTTAGATTGAGAAGTCTTTTGAATGAAGCTAGCATTATATTATTAGTTCAAAGGATCGTTTGAAAGATGGGTCATTACATAGTTTGAATGACCGTTAAATCATTAGACCGATTGTAATTTAGATCCTTGGATTTTTAGCTTTGAATGATCGTTGAATCATTAGATCTATAGATATTTAAATAGTTAGCTTAATGAATTATAAGAGTGATAAATCTCTGGGTTAATGGATCATTAGAATGTTCGATCAAAGGATTGTTAGGTAATTGTAGCATTAGATCGATGGATTAATTGTTGATTTGAATAATGATCGATGATCTTTCAATTTATAACTCTGGTTCGATAGTTTAATAAATATTTCAATCGATGTATTTCTAGTTAAAATGTTTAAATGGTTTATTTAATCGATGGCTATTAAGAGATCGATTGTTTGTTAGCTTTGAAAGATCGTCGGATCAATAAATCGAATGCTATTTAGATCGTTGAATTGTTAGTATGAATGATCATTGAATCGTTAGGTTTCTTTGAATCATTAGATCGTTAAATGTACCGTTAGATTGACACATCTTTGGCTATTAAGATCGTCGTCTCTTTGGCTATTAAGATCTCTCGTCTAGTTCGTTAGATTGATCCAAGAATTCGTTCGTTCATTTGACTGATGAATTCTTAGATCATTGGATACTTCGATTGATGAATCGTTAGATCAATTAGTTTTTAGATTGATTTATCTTTAGATCGTTGGATCATTAGGTCATTGGCTCGTTAGATTGATCACAGAATCGTTCGATCATTGGATCCATCGATTGATGAATCCTTAGATCGACCAGTCATTAGTCTTTGGCTATTAAGATCGCCGTCTCGTTAGCTTTGAATGATCATTGGATCATTAGATCGATAGCTATTTAAACCGTTGGTTCGTTAGATTGATCCAAGAATTCGTTCGTTCATTTGACTGATGAATTCTTAGATTATTGGATACTTCGATTGATGAATCGTTAGATCGATTAGTATTTAGATTGATTTATCTTTAGATCACTGGATCATTAGAACATTGGCTCGTTAAATTGATCAAAGAATCGTTCGATCATTGCATCGATGAATTGATAGATCATTGGCTCTTTCGATGGATGAATCGTTAGATCGATCAGTATTTAGATAGATTTATCATTGGATCCTTCGATTGATGAATCGTTAGATCGATCATTATTTAAATAAATTTATCTTTAGATCATAAGATCATTGTATCGTTAGGTTGGTAAAAGAATCGTTCAATCATTGGATCAATGAATTGTTAGATCATTGGATCATTAGATCGATCAGTCATTAGATAGATTTATCATTGGATCCTTCGATTGATGAATCGTTAGATCGATCAGTGTTTATATAGATTTATCTTTAGATCATTAGATCATTGGTTCGTTAGGTTGGTGAAAGAATCGTTCGATCATTGGATCGATGAATTGTTAGATCATTGGATCGTATGATTGATAAATCGTTAGATCGATCAGTAATTAAATAGATTTATCGTTAGTTCGTTGGATCATTAGATCGATGGATCTATCATCAATAGGTCCTTAGATGTTCGGATTCAAATTCATAGAACATTGGTGCATAAGAACGATTTGATTGTTACATCAAAATATCGTTAGATTGTTAGATCGTGGAATCAATATATTTTAGAATTGATAGCTATTTGAATTAATGGATCGGAGAACACTTAGATCAGTGGATCGTTAGCTCTATGTATCGTTAAGTTATTGTATCATTAAGTCGAAAGATCTTTATCGTTTAAGATAAGTTCTTTAGATTAGTCTATGTTTAAACCTGTAGAATATTAAACCAATGAATCGGAGATCTATGGATTCTAAGATCAAAAGATAGTTAGCTCGATAGTTAAATAATTTGATAATTGATTCTGCATCTGGGATTGTTAGATTACTAGATCATTAGCTCGATGGATCGTAACAGAGCGTCTTAGATATATTTATTGATCTTTTTCTAACGATCAAACTTACCAAATTTTAATTTATTTACATTTGAATAAAATTTTGGATATTTACCTGTAAAGAAAAGAAAGCAAAATTAATTAGTAAAGAATACAAACATGTATTAATGTATAAAGATATTGAAAATTATGAAAATTTGAGAACAAAGTTTGATCGTTTTAAGAAATTTTTCAAATATGATCAAGTAAAGATCAAGCTTTTACCTTTTCCTAAGTTCTTCTAAATTTCTCTACAAAATGCTCTCAAGTCCTTCCCTTTGATATTTATATATGGTGTTTCTTCTTTAAAACTTGTTTGAACATGATCAAGTAAAGATAACTCTCTCACCTCTTCCTAATTTTCTCCCTAGTCCTTTTCTCTGAGATTTGCCTGTGGTCTCTTTCATTTTCAAATCATATTCTATATATTCTGACATTCTTTATACAAACACTATCAACCCAAAGGAAATGTTTCTTTAGCTGACGGGGAACAGATCGACAAAGAGTATCGGGGGGTATAAAACAGCTAAATTATCAGGTTAAACATCATTAAAGTGACATGAGCCGTAAATCAGCAAAAAAAAAGACATGTAATATTGCTTACGTTAATGTTATTACGTTTTTCTTAAAAGTTTTTTACCAAGTTTATGTAACTTTTATAACGGAGTTTTTTTCGCTAAGGAAATGAAGGGTTTTCACTGGCAAAGTGATTGAAATAATAAAAAAGTGTGTTTTACTTGGTTAAGCAGAAACAACTTTTTTTCATAATGAATCTTAATAAATCATTCTTTTACTCAAAGTCGTGTATATAACTACAGGTTTTATAATGCAGTTTTTTTTATTTTTTTTCTTTTTATTTGCCATAAGAAAGTTTATTAAACTCTTTCTTTTTTTACGTAAGAACTTGTTTGTTTGAAACAAAAAAACTTACTTTTTTTTGGTTAAAAACAAGTTTGTTTTGGTAAGGAATAAAATACATATTTAGAGGTTTTTTTGGAGGCAATCTAGCAGAATATTTTAGCACGAGTTTTATTTGGTTGAAATCCCAAAAAAAACAAGCAGAACATTTTGAAAATTTCATTTGAGAACGACAACACATGGTAAATTGTTGTGGTAAATGTTGTATATGGCTGGGCAGGCATTGCATGACACAAAACAGACCAAAAGGAACAACAGTCACAGACACAGTAAAATGAGGCAAACGCTAGTTAGTGAATGCAGTCAAGCATAAGGTGAAGACCTTCTTTACTTTTTTTGTTACCAAAAACACAACTAAAACGACAAAACACAAACTACTACAGCAATACTAGTCCTTTTGCTTCTCCTGTTTTTTAAGGCTGACTTTAAGCAATAAACGAGATAAAGTTCTGGTGATAAACAGAATAGCAACGTAAAAAGCCAACAAAAACTTAACAAACTTGGAAAGTCAAAGAGAACTAAAAATGTGGGTATAAAAAGTTGATAAAAAGTCATTGTTTTTATTTTCGGCATATGAATTGTTTCAAGTATTTTGAGGAGGTGGGCAAGGGTTTTTAAACAAAAGACAACTACAGCAAAGTTTGTTACACAAAAAAAACAACAAAATTATGAAGAGGCGTTTGTGAAGAAACCCAAGTAATAAACTAGAATTCTTTTTTTTTCTGGTCTTAAGAAGTTTGTTTAAAAAATGTTTATTTTCTTATTTTTTGTTTGTATTTTGTTTATAAACAAATAAAACTATAACAATAAGAAGGGGGAAAAAAACAAATACAAGTTGTTTGAATTGACGACAACGACAACAACATGTTGAGGAAGTCATACGAGTCAGAGTAGTACGTAAAAGGGCATGTGCCACAAGTGGCTTTGAACTTTTGTTTGGTGGTAAAAGATAAAAATAAATAATAATTTTGTGTTTTTTTAAAGAAAATTTTAAGAGATTGTAATAATCTTAATAAAATTTTAAGATCAAGATAAAAAAAAAATTTCATCAATTTTTAAGTATTTAAAAGCTTTAGTCACGCTTTTCTTAGAGAGAAGTTAGATCGACACAACCGATGGATATTCGAATTCCCCATTTGCATGTCTGTCTGTCTGTCTGTCTGTCTGTCTATATATTTATGGATATTCTAAGTCTCATGTCTGTCTGCCTGCCAGTATGTCTGTCTGTATGTGTGTCTGTCTGTCCGTCTGTCTGTATGTGTGTCTGTCTGTCTGTCACTCGACCGATGAATTCATAAACATTTTTTATCAAATTAGTGTTAGATTCCCCATTTGTATGTCTGTCTGTCTATATATTTATGGATATTCTAAGTCCCATTTATGGATATTCTAAGTCCCATTTTGCATATCTGTCTGTCTGTCCGTATGTTTGTCCGTCTGTCTGTCCGTCTGTCATTCGACTGATGGATTCAGAAAAAATTTTATCGAATTAGTGTTAGATTGTTGGAGAAGTTGATCATTAGATTGATGAATCATTAAAACAATGGATATTCGATCAATGAACTAGATTTGATCATTAGAAAAATGTTGATCAATTGATCGGTGGATCAGTTGCTCGTTGGATTGATCGTTAGCTTAATGAATTGCTAGATTATTAAATCTTTGGATCAATGGATCGTTATATTTATAGATCCTTGGATCAAATGATTGTTGAGATAATTAGATCGTTGACCATTTTAGATAGTCAGCAATCTGATTGACTGATTGCTAGATTGTTAAATCTTTGAGTAAATAATGGATCGTTAGATATATAGATTGATCGTTGAATACTCCGATTGCTAGATTGATTAATCTTTGAGTAAATAGATCGTTAGATTTTTCGATGACTATTAGATTGTTTGTTAGTCTGATGGATAGGTTGACTGTTAGATTGATAGATCGTTGGATTAATTGATCGTTAGATCGATAGATCGTTGGATTAATGGATTGTTAGATTGATAGATCGTTTGATTAATGAATTCTTAAATCATTGTATTAACGAATCGATAAATAAAAAGTATTAATGTTGGATCATTAGATCGAACTATTATTATATTGATAGTAGAATCATTAGATATAAAGATCGTTATATTCATCGTTCGTTAGATCAAAAGATCAATACATTCCTAGATCATGGTATATATAGATTGGTAGATGAGTGAATTATTAGACCAATGAATCAGAGATCAATAGATTCTTAGATTAATGGGTCGTTAGCACGATATTTAAATCCTTGGATCCTTAAAGCAATACATCGAGCTATATTGATAAAAACTTATAAAAGATCAAAAGAGAGGCTCTCGTTTGTCAATTTTCTCAAAATATTTTCTGATGATCAGATATAATTGGTTAGATTTAAGGATTGTCATATATTTGGATCGTTAAAACGAACATTAGACCGTTAGATCATTAGTTATTGAGTTTGAAAGGAGTATATAGTGGGAATCAAACCCACGACCTCAGACTGAAACATAACCAACCAAAGGAGATCGTTAGATTCCTAAAACAATTGATCAGTAGGTCGTCAGATCATTTAAACGTTAAATTGCTAGATTGTTAGATCATTATCTCGTTAGATTGATAAATAGTTGGGTCAACAGATCGTCACATTGTTGGATCATTAGATCGATCGCTGTTCGTCTGTATGTAGAATATTTAAAGCCTTCGAACGATGAATCGTTAGATTCATAAAAAGTTTGTTAGAACGTTGTCTCGTTAGATTGATAAATAGTTTGATCAATGTCTCCTTAGATTGATAAATAGTTGGGTCAATAGATTGTCACATTGTTGGATCATTAGATTGATCGTCGTCCGTCTATATGTTGAATCGTTAAAGCATTCGATCGATAAATCGTTAGATTCATAAAAAGTTTATTCAAATCGATCGTTAGATTGATCATTGAGAGATCGATGGATCAATGCATTATTTGATGAATCATAAGATCTATTGATATTTCGATCCAAGGATTATTGAATAAGCTGACCTTTATATTGACAAATCATTAGGAAATGTTCAATCAATGGATCATTGAGATATCGGTGGATCAGTGGGATCGTTAATTTGAGGAAACATAAGATCTATTGATATTTCGATTCAAGGATCAAGTCGCCTTATCAGTAGCCCGAAAGAACGATAGGGTCCAGACAAAAGAACACAATATGCAATTTTCTTAAAATATTCTTTAATAAAAGAAAAAATTTAAAACAAAATGTCTGTCCATCCATTCAGCTTTCATAAACAGCAAAAATGTGTTAAATTCTAGACGCAACAAAATCAACGATTAAACCATTCCTACCACCACAAAACATTTAATATAAAACATTTTATTGCAAGAAAAATGTGCACATTTTAAACTAAAAACAACAAAGACGAGTAAAAACATAAAATTTTTATTAAACCCCCACTTGAGAATAAAAAAACATCTGCTTTCGCTAACTGGACGCTAACTCGCTAAATAACCGAGTGATTTCTTGTTTGAAAATCAGTTTTAAAAAGAAAGGGTATAAAATAAATAAAAAGCTGCGAAATTTTTTCAAAAAATATCTCTAAAGAAACCGCACAATGTATAATATAGTTTGTTTGTGTGTACAAAAGATGACACTGTGCATTTAACAGGATGTTGTAAGAAATACAAAAAAAATAAATAAATTATTTATGGTAGATATTTTCTTGAGTGTGGCAACAAACAAAAGCAGCTGTATGACAGACAAGTTGCAGTTTTTTTTTTGTAACAAGAAACAAATAATAAAAATTTATAATCAGACGAATTAAACAAAAAAAGTGATTTTGTAAAATTTTGAGAAATATGGGTCAAACAAATTAAGTTAAAAACTAAAAAAATTTGCTAAAAATAATATAATTGAAAGAACAACACAAATTTAACTCATACATTAGAATTTTAAGAAGGCATTACCCTGTAATGTCTACTGTATACCTTTATATTTGACTCATAAATATTTTAAAAATTTATTCTTTTTATTGAAAGGTTTTTTTCCAACATCTAACACCATTTAATTATAAAAGTTTATACGTAAACGTAACGAATTATTTTATTATTTTGTAACACCAACCAATAAAATTCCATCCCCTTAGAAACTGTTTTCAGACAAAAAGAACAA